TGGGGGTCACCACAACATGAGGAACTGTATTAAAGGGTCACGGCATTAGGAAGCTTGAGAACCACTGTCCTAGATGATGCTGTTAGCATTTTTTTTTCTGCTCCTAGAAATTAAATTGTGTTATTCTATGAGGCTATTAGTGTTTTTTTTGTTTTTTTTTTAGCTTTTTTGTGGACTATTTTTCCAGCAGAAAAAAACTCGAAACGCCACTAAAACACTACTAACAGCTTTCTTTCTAGTGTTTTTTTAACATGTACTGTAAAAAGACTAAATGCTAACGCTACTAAAAACGCTATTGCCAGCATTTTTTATCCAGCGTTTTTTGAGCTTAAAAAAAAAGCTTGTGTATGGAACCTCAGGCAGAATATCACTTTCCAAGATAAATAGCTTTTCTAATGTATTCTCTGACCAAGCCATCCCAGTGTGCTTATCTTTAAGCCCTCATGCACATTTGCTGTTTTTACAGCTGCTGTTTTTGGCTTTTTGCATTTTTTATACAGTCAGTAAACCCCCCAGCATGTTATCCTATGTGTACATAGACTGTAATCAACATTTTTTGGCTGGAAAAAAACCCAGGACTAGTGGGTTTCTAGAGGAGTTTTTTAGCTGTAAAAACGCTTTAACGCTGAAAAACACGGTAAAAAGTCGCAAACCAGTGTTTTTGGACTTTTTTTGACCAAAAAAAAAAAAATTTGGGGGGGGTAAAAAAAAACTCTAAATGCAAACACAGGAAAACGCCGCTAATCGCAGCAAAACATCACTGAACGCTAATGCAAAAACACTAAAAAAAGCTGAAAAATTCCCATTTTTATCATGACTTTACACAGCTAAAGTTACCAACGTTATCAAAACGTCCCGTGTGTATGAGGACTTGTATCTCATCCATGGCAGCCTTGAATCTGGACCCTCTTTTTTTCATTTCAAAAGGTGCACCTAAGCCCCTGACTTCCTGTAGCGTCATGTCCAGGAAACAATCCAGAAAAGTTCATGTCCCATCATGCACTGCCTTCCAGTAGCACACAATAGGGGGTGTTTTACCTCTCTGGACCACTCCTGTTTCATTACAGTACTGCCTCTTTTTATTTCCATCAACTTTTCTACTTCTTTCTACAAGTAGATGGGAAGGAGTTGGTGGAGACACTCAACTGTCATTGTTTTTGTAATCCAGCTCCAATTTAGTGAGGGGCGGTTGTAAGCACACCAATTTCACTTTCAGGCCCCATTCACACCTAGCGTAGTGGGAGCGCACTTTTGTTTGGTGCATTTATCCCGTGACACACATTGGGCAGCCCATTAATTTCAATGTGCTGCCCAATGCACAACAAACACCGCAAAGGAGTATTTTGGCATGTTGCAGTTTGCACATTTTACTGTGTGTTTTGCTGCATTTGTTGTCCATTTTTGCACACAGCAAAATTGCATGTTTGCTTTAGCATTTGGGGTGCCATTATTATTATTATTATACAGGATTTATATAGCACCAACAGTTTGCTCAGTGCTTTACAATATAAAGCAGGGGTGTCAAACTGGCAGCCCTCCAGCTGTTGCAAAACTACAAGTCCCATCATGCCTCTGCCTTTGGGAGTTATGATTGTAGCTCTCAATCTTGCAATGCCTCATGGCAACAGCTGGAGGGCCGCCAGTTTGACACCTGTGATATAAAGAGACAATACAGTGCAATACAAGAGGGTTAGGAGGGCCTGATCCTTGGAGCTTACAATCTAAGAGTAAACGTAATGGCACTGCAGAAGAAACACCAGTTTTTTACATGTTCCGGGAATGAGCAGATATGCATGGAGCCTCACTTTCAAACCATCCTGGTGTTTAACAATGCCACTTTAAGATGCTCCCACTGTTGCAATTCGGCCAACCCGGAGCTTTGCACAGCCGTTCTATAGAAGTGTATGCAGATGCAGCATATGCATACGGTTTCAGCGCTCATGTGAATGACCCCCCAGTTTTGTAAATCAACGTATATGAGCTAAACGCTTGTGTACAAGGACCCTGAAACTGCTAATTACAGCAGAAACTGTAATGTGGAATACCTAAATCCAGGGGAAAGAGATCTGGGAAACGTGTTCTCTCTCTTTCTGCTGTCACTTTCTTCTCTCTCTGCTATCTTTCTCTCCCCCATACCACTCCCCCCCCCCCCCCCCCCCCCTCTCCCCTCATGGGCACATGTAAACTAGTTCATTTCTGGTGTATTACTGACTTCCAGGGACACACTTCTCCTGTTTTCAGTACTACAGCTCGCTCCATGTAGGCTGTTATGTGATCGCTCAGCTCCTTCTCCTGCTGCAGTGGGCACACTCTGCCAATGGAATGATCTATGCAGAGAGCAAAGGTACAAAATGATCCATCAGCAAAGGAGGACACTGGCCATGTACTGAGGGTGAAAAGTGCCTACAGAAAATGACTGCATCAGAGACGCATGTACTGTAACTACCAGGGGTGGACTGACAACTCATGGGGCCCCCGGGCAATAGGGGATCATGGGGCCCCTGTGTCCTCGCGCGCACCCAACAAAAGCTTATGAAAAAGCCAATAAAAGGTACCAGGGGTATCTCATGAGGCCCCCTACTGACCTCGGGCCCTCGGGCAGTGTCCGAGTGCTCACATGGTCAGTCTGCCCCTGGTAACTACAGAGGTAGGTGGTACATGGGAGAAGAGCTGTACTAGAGCTGTGGGCGAGATTGATGCACTTCTGCTTGGGGTTCTAAAAAGCACTGCAGCACTGGGCTGAACTAAGGTAGTGGAGAGGTGGGCGGGAGCAATCCCCTGGAGGAGGAGGGCAGGAGCAGGATTTGTTTCAATGAGGTCCACTGCTGAAAAAACTTCCTCACTCTACTAACAGGTCTGGTGTCCTGCAGGACGGATACCAGGAAGACATGTTAGGGATTTCTATAAAAGAAATCAGAGGCTAAGGTGAAGCCTGCTCCGGAGCATAGACACAGCCTTTTTCTTTTCTTCAACACGTGTACATTAAAGTGATACTAAAGTCTTCTGTTTGTTTTTAAATGACAAACATGTCATACTTACCTGCTCTGTGCAGTGGTTTTGCACAGAGCAGCTTGGATCCTCCTCTTCTTGGGTCCCCCACTGGTGCTCCAGGCCCCTCCCTCCTGTTGGGTGCCCCCACAGAAAGCTGCTTGCTATGGGGGCACCCGATAAGGCGCACTCCCGAGCTGTGGCTCTGCTTTTCCATTCACACACACAGCCGTGGCTTGGTCCCTACTCCTCCCTCTCCTGATTGGTTCACTGGCTGTGATTGACCGCAGCAGATGCAATGGCTCCTGCTGCTGCCTTAGCCAATCAAGATTGAGAACTGAGGCTCTTGTGGACATTGGGCTCAGGTAAGTGTTAGGGGGGACTGCTACACACACAAGGTTTTTACCTTCATGCATAGAATGCATGAAGGTAAAAATACCTTGAGCCTTTAGGACCACTTTAATCTTATATTGGTACATAGGAAGTCTATACTATGCACCCTGGGCAGGCAGGGTGCTAACACCCTAAAATATTTAGTTCTCCCCTCCTCTCTGTGACATAGCGTACACAGAGCCAAACAGGACAAGCTCACATAATGCCCAGTGGCATAAATCTGCTGTTAAATGGCAGAGATGTTTTAATGAACAGGTGCGCTGGTTTTCTACTTTTGTGAAGTAACTTTATGTTGACCATTCAGATGCAAATATTACCTTTAGGTTCTTGGTTAGTACATTCGCTTTTTTATTTTCTGTAGAATTTCTTCTAAAATGTGCAATGCTGTTTCCATCCTCTTGCAAAGAAATGAAGAAACTAGTAGGGATGAAGCCTCATATTGAAGCTAAATGGCCAATCATGGCAGAGTTGGGTGTTCAGTAGGAATCTGCTGGTCTTTGGAAGATAGTTTATGTAGTCAACAATTACTGGGTGTTCCAAAAGTCTGCATCCAATGGAAAGATAGTATTTAAATGTTTTTAGTATAGTAAATGCTCAAATTGACAGAACTGGACTTCATGACACTTAAATACCAGCATGGTGAACATTTCTTAATGTAGTAGAACTGATGTAACATGCAGAAATGATTTCCTCCTTAGGGCCAGTTCACATAGATTGCTGACTTCAGATAACCCCCAAAGAAAAAAGTCTAGTGGTGTTACTTGGGCTTGAGGACTCTTGTTAATAAACCAGGGCTTGACCTGAAGAATTGTTCTTTATCAGTAACCTCAAAATGATGGACGCCATTGGATCACCTTGATTAGTTACAGGTTCAAAAGAGGTCAGCGATGCAGCCTGTACAGGGGCGGACTGACAACTCATGGGGCCCCCGGGCAATAGGGGATCATGGGGCCCCTGTGTCCTTGCCCAAACTCAAAAAAGCCTATGAAAAAGGTACCAGGGGCATCTCATGGGGCCCCCTACTGACCTCGGGCAGTGCCTGAGTTTCTAAATGGTCAGTCCACCCCTGAGCCTGCATAACCCCTCGGCATAGATGTATGAACTTTTTTGTTGTTTTTGGAAGGGTTAGAACCCCTTTCAGTTTTTTACTGCTATCCCAAGCTCTGTTAGATTTATCCTCACTTCTCCATCTGACATTTTACCAGTTATATATAGCATTATCATTATTCATATTTGGTCTATACAAAAATATATAGCATTGTATTTAGGAAACAGCTTTACGAAACGTCTGAGGTTTTACTTCCTGGCAGTGACCTGAGTATGCAATTTCTGCTTTTCTGTAGGAACATCAACATGTGTAGGCATCACCTAGTAACCCTGATTTGGCATGGTACTTTGTTACTGCCCCACAAGTACAGTGTATGGAATTTTGGCTGCACTCAGGCATTCCTCTTCAGCAGAATATTATTTCCAAGAGATCCCTGTGTGTAATGAGGGTGGGATTAGAGCAGCTGTGTGTGTAATCTGGGTGGGATGAATGTTTTTAAAAGATGAAAGTACAGTTAGACTGCAGTATATAAAATCTAGACACACACCTACCTGATTGTGTGTGTATATATCAGGGGCAGACTGACCATTTGGAAACTCGGGCACTGCCCGAGGGCCCGGGTCAGTAGGGGGCCCCATGAGATGCCCCTGGTACCTTTTTCATAGGCTTTTTTGAGTTTGGGCAAGGACACGGGCCCCATGATCCCCTATTGCCCGGGGGCTCCATGAGTTGACAGTCTGCCCCTGGTATGTGTGTGTATGGGTGTGTGTGTGTGTGTGTGTGTGTGTGTGTATATATATATATATATATATATATATATATATATATATATATATCGTGTATCATGTATAGCTTGTCTGTATTTTGTATTCCAAACAAATGTTTATAGGATTGAACCTTTTTATTCTTGCTGTTGTGACTTAACTAATCATTTCCCTAATCTGCTTTCTTTGTAGATGTATTATATGGAACCTTGTCTTTCAAGAGCACTGCCAACTGCCTCCGTATAGCCTGGGACTCAACTTTATTTTTTGCAATTTAGGTAAATGATATGTGTCCTATAATAAAAAAATCTTTTTAAGATATGACTTCATTGGGTCACCAAGATGTATGGTGTATACTTGGATGTATGAAAAAGATGGTCATCTATAGACCGGGTTGTAATTGGTTGTTGCTGTCTGCTTTTGTCAATTACTGCATCATGTATAATTGAGACACTCTACAACAACCTTTCTAACCTGGAGGAACCCTTGAAATAACATTTCGGTCTTGGGGACCCATATGGAAGAAAAATGTATTTGAAATCTTCAGTTTTGACCATATTCAATATATTTCAAAATATATTTAAAAAAAAAAAATATATATAAACACACACTGTATGTTGAAATGCGTTTTTATTACAAAATATATGAAAACTATTTTTAAAAATACATTTCAAATATACTGCATGTCTTTAAAAATACAAATCTACTTTTTTGGAATGCATTTACAAATATGTGTAAAATTATGTTAAAATTACTTTTTTATATGTTAAAAAAAATCTGAAGAATATATTTAAAAAATATATATTTTTAAAAATATATATTTTTTAAATCTATTCTTCAGATTTTAACATATAAAAATGTAATTTTTACATATATTTGTAAATGCATTCCAAAAAAGTAGATTTGTATTTTTAGACCTACAGTATATTTGCAATGTATTTTTAAAAATATTTTTCATATTTTGTATTAAAAATGAATTTCAACATACAGCATGTGTATGTGTATATATGTATAATATTTATTTATTTTTTTGAAATATATTGAATATGGCCAAAATTGTAGCATTTCAAATATATGTCAATATATTTTTGGGAAGAATATTTTTAAAATATATTTCCAATATATTTTTCCTCCATGTGGGGAACGCCTGTTAATAATACTATATCTATAGCTCACAGTACACAAGCATGGTGGTCACTTGAAAGAATGCTCCTTGCATTTATTGTCAGTGGAAAGAATACACTTTGCATGTGGCTGAAAAGGTCACTGGTGTCAGTGGTTACTTATCTGAGCGGTATAAGTTGTTCAATGAACCTCTAACAACATCTGGAGGAATGCTAGGGTTCAATGGATCTCTGGTTGATGAAGGATGCTCTAAAAAAAAAATTATAAAATTCTTGTTTGCCAATTGTGGGATTTGTAATTTGTTTTCTACAGGAACAATCGTGGCATAAACAGACAATGTAAATGTGATTGGAATGTGACTTCACTATTAAAATATGACTAATAGCAAAACCTTTTTTTTCCCTTTTAGAGTGGAGTTAGAACATCTGTCAGGTTTTTATTGCAGCTTTAGTGCATGTGATCTACTGCTGACTAAACTAACTAAAATGTATAATGGCAACAAAATAAAGCACAGTGGCCAGTCCTTTCCTACAATAGGAGACTAGCTAAAATGCAGTGCAAGGTTGACTTTTTTTTTTTTTTTATTTACTCTGAGACCAATCCCCTCCAGTACATTATATTGTCAGTAATGTTTTCATAGTTTCCTGGTTCGTGGTTTAACCTTTCTACCATGCTGGGAAGGGATTGAACTTCAAACATTGACAGGTTTTTGGCAGTTAAACATATATGAAAATCATACTATGTACCTTTTGCTTTTATAGACGGGAATGTTTGTTTTTCTTGTATTACAGTGTGGTTCTGATGCATCATCAGTTTAGTATTGTAAAGTGCTTAAAGTGGTTGTAAATGCTGATGGTTTTTTTACCTTCATGCATTCTATACACAAAGGTAAAAAAAAAGTTGTGTGCAACAGCCCCCCTTTTACTTACCTGAGCTCCATCGCGATCCAGTGATGTGCAAGGGAGACTCTCCCTCCTCATTGGCTGTGACAGCAGTGGATCACAACCAGTGAGCCAATGAGAAGAGACGGGGTGGGTCCGAGCCTCATCTCTGTGCGAATGGACACCCAGAGCAGCGGCTTGGGAGCGAGCCTGCTTGGGTTCCCCCATAGCAAGCTGCTTACTCTGGTGGAACTTGGCAGGAGGGAGGGGCCAGGAGTGCCAGCAGGGGGGGTCGAAGAAGAGGAGGATCGGGGCTGTTCTGTTCAAAGTCACTGCAAAGAGCAGGTAAGTATGATTTGCTTTTTTTAGTGCCTTTAATACCACTTTAATGATTGTATTTATTTTTATATCACATAGTACTTTTCTTGCATTGGATATATGTTTTTATTAGTACAGTGATGCTTTTAGGCATTTCAGAACAGCCTCTTTGAGCTGTGATGTGTAAGTGCCTGGCTGTCAGTTGTGTACTCCTCTTCCCTGGACATTCACATGTTCTATTTGGATAGCATGAAAATCATGCCAAATAGTAAAGCACAGCTGTCATTTGCTCATTCCTGAGGCAACTGGTAGCTGATGCAGCATAGTCAGCTATGAATCTACAGGGCAATGTTTGTTCACAAGTAATAATGTTTTAATGGCTCTCTGTAAAAAAAAAAAAAAAAAAAAAAATAACATTCCTGTATGTTTACCTTTTATGTACATGCAGAAACATTGCCCTGCAGATTCATAGCTGATAATTACACAACAGCCATGAGATGCCTCAGGAATGAGTGAATGACAGCTGTTTTATTTTTTGGCATGATCCTTAGGTTGTCCAAGTAGAACATGTGAATGTCCAGGGAAGAGGCGTACACAACTGACAGCCAGGAGCTTGCTCATCTTCCCTAGGCACCTACATGTCAGTGTAAAAAAGGCGTTTCTGAAATGCCTAAAACACTGCAATACTAATAAAACCTATAATATGAAATGCAGTAAAGGTACTGCAGGTTATAAAAGGAAATAACTCCATTAAGCACTTCTGAATACTAAATTGATGATTGCAACTCTCAAGAATGAAGATGTATAACGTGCATGTCCATTTTCCACTTGCACCGCCATGTATTTGTTATGTGTTTACATTCACACAGCATACCTAAAAAGAATTCTTATAAACAAGGGGAATAGGCGCACGCCTGGTCCAGGTTTATATGATTGCACTAGACTGATAGATGAATATTAAATAAATAAGATACAATGCATGTCAGAATACAATGAAATAAAAGGGACACTGGTAACCATGGAGACAATAATTATACAATGCCCATATAAAATTGGCTGATAAGCCAAAACCAATAAATGTAGAAAGCAACACTGCTAATAAAGTCTTTTATAAAGCAGGGTAAAGAGTCCATCCACTTGTGGCTGCCTCTCACTGGATATAAAGCTTGTTCCAGAGATGAGCATGTAAAACAGAGAAAGAAAAGAGCCTTTAAGTGTAGACCTAAAAGACAGGTTTATTGCACGCAATGTAGAGCAACTTACAAGAAGGTGGGTAAAACAGGCACATCAAAATCCGTCAAGGAGGAGATCACCACGGTGAGGAGACAGGTACATGGCTGCTGATAGTGACAGACCCTCTGTCGGCATTGCCAGCTTGCCTAGAACACAGCCAGAGGGTCTGTCACTATCAGCAGCCATGTACCTGTCTCCTCACTGTGCCCATCTCCCCCTTGACGGATTTTGATGTGCCTGTCAGGGGTGGACTGACCATTTGGGAACTCGGGCAGGGCCCGGGGTCAGTAGGGGGCCCCATGAGATGCCCCTGGTACCTTTCATAGGCTTTTTTGGGTTTGGTTTGAGTGTGGGTGAGGAGACAGGAGCCCCATGATCCCCTATTGCCCGGGGGCCCCATGAGTTGTCAGTCCGCCCCTGGTGCCTGTTTTATCCCACCTTCTTGTAAGTTGCTCTACATTGTGTGCAATAAACCTGTCTTTAAGTCTATACTTAGAGGCGCCTTTCTTTCGCTGTTCTAAAAATAATTCTTGCCTTTTAGTTGTTTCTTTAGAGCGGATTTATACATAGGGCTGCACGCTGTTGTGAACAATTTCAGAGTGTAATTCATGGGATAAAGTGAGGGAAAGTGCATTGGCATACATTATAAGAGCCAAGCTTTGAGAGCTTTAAAGGATAAGTTTCACAAAAATGTAAAAGGTGACTTTACACACAACACCCTTGGTAGATTAACTGACTTCTGTACAACTAGCTTGCCCATAGATGGATCGGAATTCGGTTGGTCCCTGCTGAACTGGCCTAATTGCGATCCATGTATGGCCAGCTTTAGAAAAGATCATGGGAAGCATAACTCCATAGCCTCCTGCTTAACATTACAGAGAAAGGGATAGCTATGTAGGATTTGTAAGCAAATAAAAAGGTGAGCTTCATTTATTTATTTATTTTTTGTTATGTGAATGGAAACGTGTAACAAAGAAAAAGTAAATGTTCTCCTAGTTTGGCTGCAAGAGTGGAAATACATTTGAAGCCATCACAGATGTACCCCACCCTTCCTGTCGGTGCTTTTATTTTCCTCAGCTCGGTTTTTATTACACCTTGTTTGAAGTGTGTCTGCTGAAACCAATACATTCAGCAATTTAGTGCTGTAGAGAATCCGGTACACAGCTCAGCAGATGTGCGTGGTATTGTGATCTGCATTGAAGAGCCTAACCTGGCTCCGTATTACATACAGATCTGGATTCTGGTTAGAACAGATAGGGCTCATATGGTTAGTCGTTCGTCATTTACAGCGATGTAGAGTCTCCATCACAAATATCATGGTGCATAGGCATCTGACTGACTCCCAGTTTCCTCCTATCACCAACAAAGCATTGAGGCAGCTATCAAATAGTTTCTTATATATTTACAGAGACACTGAATGGTCCAATTCTCAGCTTCTGGGGTTACACATGGTTATATTTTGATTGGTGACATCTACTGAAGAGACACAGAAATGCTTTCAATAGATCATTACAAATGACACATTATATTGATCAATAGGGCACATGTCAATATAGCCAAATCATTGTTTCTAGTTTTGGAAAACTTCAGATATAATTTTTTTTTCCTCTGTTTATAACTCCATTGAGGACATTTTTCTTCCCTGTTTCTTGTTTCTGTGGCACCAGAAATCGGTTGCAGTAGTCACCAGGAAAGGAACAACAATAAAAACTGTTCATTCTAACCCAGGGGTGGGCAAACTTTTTGACTTGAGGGCCGCAATGGGTTCATATATTGGACCCGGGGGCCGGACCAAGAGTAGATGAATGATGTGTATGTGTGAATTAATATAAATTAAATAAAAATTTGTAACATTAAATGTTTAGATTAATTTAAGGTAGAAAAGCATAAAAAGAGTTATTTTACAAAACTTTTATGCCCCCCACTAGCTGCTGGCCGGCCCAGCCACTACCATGCCATCCATAGTAAGTATAGTAATATTCCTCCATAGTAAGCATAGTAATTAATCCCCCCTATAGTAATTCATCCCCCCTATAGTAATTCATTCCCCATATTAATTCATCCCCCATATTAATTCATCCCTCATACAGTATTTCATCCCCCATAGTACTATTCCCCCCCAAGTAGTAAGCCAAGTCCCCCCTGTGTCAGTTTACTTACCTTTGCTCCGCGCGTTCCTCTCGCTGTGTTCCCGCGCCGTTCCGGTCTTCAGGGCGGACTGTGAGAGGAGCCTAGCTCCCCTCACGTTCGTCACGCTGCCCCGCCTACACACATCCTGACAGCCAATGTTTGCCTGCCCTGGCTGTTTTTTTTTTTTTTTTTATCACGCTCCGCGGGCCGGATTAAAAGGTCCGCCGGGCCGTATACGGCCCGCGGGCCGTAGTTTGCCCATTGCTGTTCTAACCCTTCCCCTCCTACTACAAATGTGTTTATCTTCTCATGATTAAAAATAGTTGCTTTGAGCTTCATTGTGTCACTTAAGGGTACATTCACACCTGCGAAGGCACCCTGCCTACAATTATGTGAGAACTCCAGTGGGGGTACCCACAATTAGCTACGAGAGGCAACCCCATTGGAAGTAATGGGAGGCCACCAGCTCTCTCCGCTAATCTCACCCACTTGCATGTAATCTCTCTTGCAGCAGTCAAATGCTGACTGCAATCGGTCCTGGAGGCAGGCAGTCTGTGTCCATGGCCGATCACTCAAATGTGATCACTGCATGAGCGATTACATGCAAGTGGCGGCGATTAGCTGCGAGAACCAGCAGCCTCCTATTGCTTTCAATGCGGCTGCTTCTTGCAGCTAATTAGTTCTTGCATCTTACTTGAGGCAGGGTACATTTACAGGGGCAAATGCTCTCTAAAGCTCAAGTTCAACCTAGGTAAAGAAAAAAAAAAGTAGTCTATAGCGGCTGCTGCTGGAATTAAATTCAGTTGGTCTCACTGGGTCTAAAGCTGGTCATAGATGGATCAAATCTTGGCCAGTTCAGCAGGGAAATCGGGGGCAGGCTGGTTGCACTAAAGTGGATCCATTGATCGACTTCAGTACAACCAGCCTGTTGGATTTCTTGCATGCAGTCACTGTCAGCTGCTATACCTGCTAGCACTGATCATTGTGTTCTGCCAGCAGGGAAGGCTTCTTGCTGGAAGAACACAATAGTACTGTGGGAGGGATTCCCCTGTCAACATTGACTGTGTTGAATGGGTGAATCCAGAAATCTTCTTTCCTTCCACCTGTGGTGGAAGGAAACAAAATTGTATATTCTGTGGCTTACCTAAGCCATTCAGAAGCCTTTCTATTTTTAGCAATGTATTCAAGGCTTGACCCAAACAAATAGACTGGATTTTTACTTTAAATGACAGTCTCCCTCTCAGTGCATTTTGGGTGTTAGACATTGTTAGAGAGCTATTGCTTTCACTCAAACAAACCTTACCTTTACAGAAGTCAGTAGAAAGCAAAACAGCCTTTTTAACCCCTTCACGCCAGATCGTCCCAGCGTGAAGAGGAGTTCCTGCACCGGGAGGTGGGTGGCATGGGGTGTGGCTTAGTGTCATGTGGCCGCCGTGACGTCACATGATCGGGAAAGGTCCCGATCGAAAGAGCGGACCGGGACCTTTCCATGAGTACCTCACATGTGTGCTGGGAGCGTGCTCTCAGCACATATGTTTTTTGTTACATGAACGCAAATGTGCGATCGCTCGGCGTCTAGGCCCAGATACCGGGAGGCCGCATATGTGCGTGCGGCCGGTGTGAAGGGGTTAATGAGCGAATATTTATTTATTATTTCAGGTACTTATATAGCGCTGTCAATTTACACAGCGCTTTACATATATATATTGTACACTCACATCAGTCCATAACCCTCAAGGGGTGTACAATCTAAGGTCCCTAACTCACATTCATACATACACATACTATGGACAATTTAGACAGGATCCCATTAACCTACCTGCATGTCTTTGGAGTGTGGGAGGAAACCGGAATACCCGGAGGAAACCCACGCAGGCACAGGGAGAACATGCAAACTCCAGGCAGGTGGTGCCGTGTTGGGATTCGAACCAACAACCCTAGTACTGCCAGGCGGAAGTGCTAACCACTAAGCCACTGTGCCGCCCTATGGCTGTCCTACATGCAAATGTTTAATTCCATTACAAACTTTACATAAAAAAAAGACAAGGATATTTGCACACATTGATAACTTTTTTATATTAAGCGATCTTCTTTATTATGTAAACATCTTACAAAAAAAAAAAAAAAAAAAAGACATTCAGAGAATACTTTCAACTTTCAGTTCTTGTTCAGCAAAGACGGAATGGATTTTTTTGTCAAAGGAGAAGTAACCACACAGTACAGTCAGGGTTTAATTTTGTTAAAATACATTTCTTGATTCTCTGCAGACCTGTTTTTATTCCTCAGTCTGAAGTATGATATAATTTATAGGCTTACTATCCTGTCCTGTATATGACGCCCTGCCAACAGGGAAATCTCTATATTTAATAACAAAATATGGAATAATACTTTTAAAAATGTGGAGATTGTAATAAAAACTCAGAAAGTGATGGCCATTAAAGCTACACTATATGTCAGCCTTTCTCAACCAGGGTTCCTCCAGAGGTTGCTAGGGGTTCATTGAGCAATGAGCAACTTCTGCCTCTCAGATGATTAATTACTGACATCATTGATTTTTTTTTTTAGATATCTGTAAGAGGGTGGGAGGTCTTCCCAATGACCATGAATGCCAGAACTTTTTATTGCTGTCTTTGTGGCTAGTGCAGGTTTTTCTCTTACTTTCTATCTGGTAAACCAGTTGTCACATTAAAGTGGAGCGCCACCCAAAAGGGGAAGTTCTGCTTTAAAGACTGGTTCCCCATTGAGGATTGGCACCTTTTGGGGAGCAGATACCTGTCAATTTCGGGTACCCTCTCCCACTTCTGCTGCAATTGCCTAGGTGATCGGAAGCAGAAGTTGTCGATTCCCAACACCACCCACCACCCCCGTAATCTTCTGGGACACATGACCTGTCCCATAGAAGACTATGGGACCATTCGGAAATCACAGCGCTACTCGCACATGCACAGTGGGTACCGGTACAGTAGCTGCTGACTTTTATTTTTTTCAGTGTGACTGGAACTCCCATTTTAAGTGAAGGGAAATCTCTCTAATGGAGCCCTGGATGGCAGTAAAAATTTGAAATGGGTCCTAATCCTTTATTGTATCCGAAAAAAAGATTTGGCTGGGCATACACTTTAACCCTTTTTTTTGTGCCACCAACATAGAAAGTATGTCTGAGGCAGGCCCCTTATTGCCACCAATGTACATTCTATGTTAGTGGAAGTAAAAGGTTACCGCCAAACTGATAACCTCTTGGGGCTTTTAAAGCATCGCCTAAAAAATGCATATACACTGAAGTTTACCATTTCATGGGTACACACAGATTTAAGGCTTGACAAGTTGGGTATCTATTTACTAGGCGCAACATCATCTTTTATATTTTACCAAAAATGTAGGTAATGTATTGGGGTTTATTTACTAAAACTGGAGAGTGCAAAATCTGGTGCAGCTCTGCATAGAA